GGGCCCGCGGAGCCGGGCTGCCAGGCCCCTGGCCAGCTGGCAGCTCGTTATGGAAGGGAGGGCTGGGGCTGGGTTTCCGGCTCCCTCAAGCGGTGGCCGATGCAGGGAGCTGGGGCTGTGCTGCCCAGCCCTCCCGGCAGGAACCCTGCTCAACAACCTCCCGAGGCCTCGGCCAGCACGAGTCGGTGATTCTCTGGCAACAGGGCGAGACTCGGCTCAGGGTCCCAGACAGTGCGCACGCACACACACGTGCACACGCACACACACGTGCACACGCACACACACGTGCACACGCACACGTGCACACGCACACACACGCGCTCCAAAGACCAGCAGGGCTAGAACCTGCCCAGGGTCCCAGACAGTGTGCACGCACACACACGTGCACGCACACACACACACGTGCACATGCACACACACGTGCACACGTGCTCCAAAGACCAGCAGGGCTAGAACCTGCCCAGGGTCCCAGAACACGTCCCCAGAAATCCGCGCACACGTGCACACGCACACACACGCGCTCCAAAGACCAGCAGGGCTAGAACCTGCCCAGGGTCCCAGACAGTGTGCACGCACACACACGTGCACGCACACACACACACGTGCACATGCACACACACGTGCACACGTGCTCCAAAGACCAGCAGGGCTAGAACCTGCCCAGGGTCCCAGAACACGTCCCCAGAAATCCGCGTGGGGCTGGGCCCTGCCGCTGGGTGGCCAGTTTCTGGATGGAGTCGCTGGGCTAGTAAAAGAGCCAGATCTTTGGACTCCTCATTGTAAGATGGGGCCCTGCCCCCTACGCCCCTTTCCCATCCCCCGCCTGCCCCAGCTCCTGCCCCCTCCCGCGGGTCCATACCTGCGTCTCCGTCAGCATCAGCGACGTGGCCACCTCGAAGCGCTTGGGCCGGGACAGGTACTTGTTGAGCTGGGACTGGTTCTCCAGCTCCAGCAGCTGCTGGCTAGTGAAGGCCGTGCGGGGCCGGCGGCATTTCCCCATCAGGCCGGACTGTGGAGTGGCTGCAACGGAAGGAGCAGGCTCAGGTCAGCAGGCAGGGCGGGCGGCTGGGCCCACAGCGAGCCCCTTCCCCAGGACTG